GCAGGGGGGGGAGGCAGGGGGGAGGGGGAGGGGGAGGCAGGGGGGAGGGGGAGGGGGAGGATTTGCATCCATTTAAAAGCGGGGCTATGGCGTACATATATACATACATACATACCTCGTGCGTTATTCCTTCATAGTTTGGTGGTCTCAGCTCGGTGCTGGTGCCCTCCCACCACCTGGCCAACCCTCAGCATCGTGTGCATCGAAAAACCGGCGCAACTCCGGCCACTGCCGGCAAAGAGCCGGCTGACTGCCGGGACTGCAGGGAGCGTGGGGGCCCGCGGCCTCTCCCCGGCCTCTCCCCTGCCTCTCCCCGGCCTCCTAAGGAGGAGGAAGCTGACACCCTACCTGCCCTTCTCCTCCCCCTCTCCCGCGGGCCCCCCTCCAGGTGAGAGCTGGGGTCACGCCGCGAGCACTCGCGTGATGTTGCACTGGGGCGCACACGACAACGAACGGCACGCGCAGCTGTTCAAGTCGCCCCACCTGCCCCCCGGGGATGTAGGGTTTGCGGTCACGGAGGACGGAGTGCGCGGACTGCCTAGAGGCTCCAGAAGGCAGGGGGGTGGGGGGCCCAGGTAGCGGGGAAGGAAAGGGGGGAGGGGAGAAGGAAGGCCGCTGAGGAGGGGAAGGAGAGAGTTTTCCGCGAGCTGCAAGTGCCAGTGAAAGACGACCATGTGTGTCATACAAGGTAAAATGCAGACAGTCTCCCAGGACCTCCACAAAGCTAAATTTCCACCCAAAACTTGGTGGACCGCGCGGACGGTGGAGCGAAAGAGCGCGGCAAAGATGTGCCCGACAGCGCCCACGCTATGATTGCCATCAGTTGCAATATGCGTAAGAAAACGACCCCTTGCGGCAGCTTTGGTGGATAAGGGAGCTCCGATTCGGCCTTTGACCGAATGCCTCCCTAACCATCTGCCCTGTTGCCCTGCGATGTGCGTGGAAGCATCAGCTGCTCGGACCATGCTGCACAAGGAGCAGAGCGGGTCGAAGATCGTTACTTGCTGAAAGAGTGAAAGTTGCCCAGCTGGGCCTTCGGTCATGCTTGCATGAGAAATGATTGTGTTGCATAAATGCTTTCTAATTACACCAGCATAATTGTCAATATAGAAAGCTTTTCACCTTATGTAAGTCATCTGCGCCAGGTTTCGTTATTCACTTGTACAAGTCCGCCGGGTACAAATACCAGGCGAATGCTGCCCAAGGTGCATAAATTTGTCACTTGCCCTCATGTATGTTGTGTTATTAGGATCGCTCAATAGATTTGCTTTTTGCTATCAAGAAGTTTTCGCGAGACGGTTTTCGGGCTTCCTGCCTCATGGTCTACTTTTGGTTGACGCTTGCTTGCGCAAATGCATTGAGACATAACACATAGATTGAAGGTCGAATTTCCGGGTCGGTGGCAGCTAGCTGCAAGGTAAGCGGAGAAATGAGTCACCAGCCGGCGAGCATCACGGTAAGCCATGGCCAGTGGAAAGTTTGGAAATCGATGACTTATGGTAAGAGTTTGTAGGACTTTGCAGAGACCTACGCCACATTCTGCGGCTGCTAGGTTCCAAGAGCACTTGAAGGTCGTGCACTTGAAGAACGCAAGGTCCACATGGAACCCGAATGAAACGTAGCCATCTAGGTATTCGGTGGATCCAGGCGTGTACGGTGCCTGATTCAAAACGATCAGGCGCGGGGCGTTGAGAAGGGAGAGCCCTTGTCTCTTGTCGCAATAAGATACCCTTAGCCCAATCTGCTGCCGCTTGTCTGTCAGATAAGATCGTGCAGCCTGACAGGCACAACATGGGACCTTCAGTGTGTTCAAGTCGCATGTGATTGATGGTTCTGTAGCTGAAGACCTCTCCTTTTACTTGGGAGGGTTTCAAAATAGGAGCTCTTCGATATCACTGCGGAAGTGGAGGATGGCTTATGGGGATGGCGATTTTGCGAGGACGGCGAGGAAGGGTAACGGACCCGGGATTAAAAGCAGTCCGACAGCAGGGGAGACGAGCGCGGTCTCTCTCTGCAGCCGGCAGAGCGGCACGTGTCCGCGAGTGCGTGGCGGCGTTCAACTGGTGTTGGAGACGTGACTTGTTGAGTGAGAGAGAGCTATGGGGGGGAGGAACACACTGCCGCCGGCCTCCTAGGCATGAGGTCCTGACGCACAGGTCCTTGGCGGCGGCTCGCGGGCGTCCTGTCTAGCTAGCGGCGGCGTCCTGTCTAGCTAGCTACGGTCGCTGGCGGCATATGGCCCATGGGTTCCTCACTCACACGTGCCCAAAGCTCCGAGGGGTCGCCGTGAGCTCGAATTTGCGGAGCAGGGAGCAGAGGGCGGTGTGGGATCCGCTGTTGTTAGGCTACCAAAGCTTGCGGTGCTTGGTCGGATATTTGAGGGCCCCGAGTGCGGTGATTGGCGCCATCGCCGCTAAGGGCGACGGTGGCCTCGGCGGCGGAGTCACTCCTACCGGCCGACGGCGCGTCTGGCCACGCTGCACGAAGAGGGCGACGACAGGGCGGAACTCAGGTCGCCCAGTGCTACTGCCGGGGCGGCAGTACACCAGGCGGATACCAAAGGCGGCGGCAGCGGCGGGAGGGCTGGACCCCGTGTGCGGGTTGTTGCACGTGACGGCGATTCATCGACATTCCTTCGGGGTTGTCCACGTACGTATGTATGTATGTCATTATGGAGAGCAGAAGACAAGCACTGCATGGATATAGCCGATTCCATGTGTTTTGGGAAGTATAACTGGCGATGCTGTGCTGTTGCGGGCATAGTAAGAGGCAAACTTGCCCAATGCCCTGTTCGGCAAATCCGGCCGACGTTTGCCGGCTGTGCTGTGCTGTGTTGAGGGGTTTCCTTAGGTTGACTGATACGTGGAAGGCGGCCCTGACGCTGCCCTGTGCTGCCCTGTGCTGGGCTGCGGCTTACAAGTCTCGCCGAGTCACATGGTACAATGTCAGGGGCGTGTACACGTCTCCTCCTCCTCCTCCCCTCTTCCCAGGCGGTCCTCCAGCGCTCCTGGGTCCACTACTTTCTAATCACTGCTACTACCTCTACCACGTCTCCGGGGGGGGAAGGTAGTCTCCATGAAGCATGTACACGCGCACGCACGCGTTATAGAGCACATTTACATTGATACACACACACCACAGAGAACGAGAGTGAGAGAGGGAGATAAAGTGATCCTTAATCCGCAGGTCAGATTCGAAGTTGGGGTTGCAGACGTCGAAATCCGTGTGCCGCTGCGTGACTGGTTTATGTGGATCTCCGAATCGTCACCGTCCGGCGCAGGGGGGCCCTGCGCGCGTGCACAGTACCTCACGTACTTTCATCATCGCATAGCATATGCAGTTTTTGCGCAATTGCGTAGCTCTATGTAGGGTCTTGCAAATCGTTGGATCCTGCATTGAAATTAACTGCAAAGTGCATCTTCTAACATATGTTCTTGGTTGTGGATTATCAAAACAATCCCGTATTTTTGGACCGGCAGTTATAAAGAGGACCTGGATGAAAGCGGCACATGGCGATAAGGTCACTAAGGGTGCATTTCCAGTGCGGGTTAAGGCCAGGGATTAGGGCACGGAAGTCCTTTGTACGAGCTTACCACATAGTTTTGTTCCATAAGGGAAGCAAAGGTTGGAAAGGCGAGCTAAGTTTGCCAACAACTTAACCGTTTGAGCAGGTATCGATGGAGGACAGAGGGTTAATCTGCAACGTTAATCCGCACTGGAAATACACCCCCAGGCGCGATGTCGTGAATCGCTTCATACGTCAATGTTGTGCGGATCAATGACCCCCGCTGCGCGCAAGGGGCATAGCACATGATGCTGTTAACGGCATTCTCAGAAAACGAAATTAAGGACTATGAAGATGTTTAGCAGACCAACAAGTCAACAAACATTACTTCGGAAGCTGTACAAGGGCATTGTCCTTTAATAGATAAAAAAACAGCTGATAACAGAGAAAGAAGTCACTCTTTTTGTCAAGGGTGCTATTATTTACAGGGAGTCTCCACGTGGACGTTTGTTAGCGACCCTTTTAAAAATTCTCACCCTGGACGTCAGGTTTGCACGTTCTGTTTCGCAATATGACATATTCTATATAAATAAATGATAGAAATGCAAAAGGTTTGACGGAAGGCGGAGGGATGGCGAAGAACGGGGGGCCCACGTTGAGACAAGGCCCTTGTTAAACGTCCAATAAGTCCGCAAAATTTATAGGCTGCCCCGGACCAGCTTTAAGCATTGTTAAATTTGTTAACTTTGAGCGCGGAAAATCTCGTGACTTTTTTTTAAATTATAATATCACCCGGTCTTTCCTTTGCTTTCCGTCTACTACCTTGACTGCTCGCCGACTTTCGCCGTTGCCGTTGACCAAGAATGTCACAGAACCAGTCGCCCTCGCCTGTACCGTCTCAGAACTATCCTACTTCATTACACAATGCCTTAATGGCAACCATTCAGCAGCCAATGCTGAGTCCGCTGCCCAGACTGTTCAGCCTTGCGGACGTCCATGCTTAATGGCAACCATTCAACAGCCCAGCGGCAATTTGCAGGACAACTGCCGTCCTCATTTCTCTTTAATGTTCAAAAAAATTTTGCTCAAGCAGGAGCGAAATGGAGTCAAAAGACGGTAAAAATATGGTTTCGGGGCTGCTAGTGGAGACAGTACTTTGTTAGGCATTGTTAGCGCGCCAATAACTTTAGTGGAGGTAGTTAACAAACGTCCACGTGGAGACTCCCGGTTAAAGTTATGCATGTTTTGTTTGTCTGTATACTGTGACACAATAAGGAGCGTGTTCCTAGTTCAAAATGTAGCACGTTAACAACCTGCAGCGACGACGTATATGATGTTGTCATAATCAAGGTGCCGATATACGTTGCCGCAGAGGGCGCTTAACATTTTATAACATTACCAACGGCAGGCATACATCGATGAGGCTCTGCGTCGTATGCAACGACAGCTAATTAGGATGACACATAACGCTATATCGAGAAGAAAGACGGAATCTTCACTCTTGTAAGATAGCCGGAAGCTGTGTGGTACGGGGTGTGGCTGTAGTCAACGACAAACGGCATCGGGGCATCGGCGATGCGAGACAAGTATAAGAGAGTTTCGTTTCTTTTAAAACGATAATGCCTTGTGTATGAGGTATAACGAGCTAAGCAGACATCGTCGACTTTTGAAACTTGAACTACAAGGGGGTGCCCAATCAAAACCTGTCTTATTAGCGTACCTCGCTCGACTAAATGCAAAACTTAAAATAAAGCTCTATTCATCGACTATCTTTCACATGAAGTCCTCTGCAGTAGCGGTGTGGCTCATCGCTTTGGTCGCATATTACAACGCGCAAGCGGCTGAGGCGCAGGGTGCGTTTGGAGCCCCAAGACCCAAAGCTATCCGCTTTAAAAAAATACTTGTTAGTGTATCCTTCATATTCTCTTGCCATCGCAGGTCAACAAGCGGCTGATGCCAATGGCCCTGCAAGGACCCCGCTGCAACCACTTCCCTTTCTTGCATTACGAAGAATAACGTCCAGAAGGATAAAGGCCATCGAAGCCCCTTCACAATTGCAAAGCAATGCACGACGCCAACCCGCCACATCGCCACCCGAAAGGGAGACCAGCCTGCCAGGACCGCCAGCCACCAAGTCGCCTAAGCACCAGGGCGTGCCTCCAGATCAAAAGTCAGGAAGAAGAAAACCGAGTCCACCAACCCAGCCCCAGCCCAAAACAATATTAAACCGACCGCCGCCGTCACCACAGCCGCCGCCGCGAAAAAGCCGGCCGCAGCCACCACCACCGCCGCCGCCAAACAGCCCGCCGCTGTCACCCCCAATTCCATCACCAAGCGGCCTGCCTCCGGCGCCCAGGCTTCCACAGCCAAATAACCCGCCGCAGCCACCACAGCCGCCGCAGCCAAACAGCCTACCGCTGTCACGTCGGCCGCCACTGCCGAAAAGCCTGCCACCGCCACCACAGCCGCCGCCGCCGCCGCAGGCATCGCAGCCGTCACCACAGCCGCCGCAGCCAAAAAGCCCGCCGCCGGCGCCACCGAAGCCACCGCCGTCACCACAGCCAAGACGCCCGCTGCCGTCACCTCGGCAGCCATCGCCAAAAAGCCCGCCACCGTCACCACAGCCACCGCAGCCGCCACCGCCGTCACCACAGCCGCAGCCGCCGTCGCCACCGGAGCCGCCACCGCCGTCACCACAGCCGCAGCCGCCGTCGCCACCGCAGCCGCTGCCGCCACCACAGCCGCCACCGCCGTCACCACAGCCGCAGCCACCACAGCCGCAGCCGACAAAACGCCCGCTGCCGTCACCTCGGCAGCCACCGCCAAAAAGCCCGCCGCCGTCAAATCGGCAGCCATCGCCAAAAAGCCCGCCACCGTCACCACAGCCACCGCAGCCGCCACCGCCGTCACCACAGCCGCAGCCGCCGTCGCCACAGGAGCCGCCA